GCTAATAATACCTCGAGGTTCACTCAAAAGCTGGCGTTTGCTGCTGCTTGTTGAGTTAAAACAACAAAATTCTGAAATACTTTGGGGAAAACATAATTGCTTTACGTTCAATCCACTTGTATTGGTAAAAAAACGATTTATGTTGGGACAACTGAGTGAAACCCAGCATTTACAGTGTAAGTTCTCTTGAAAATAAGATTCTCTGGAGGAATATGTTTGCCTTATGCAATTTGTGTGCTGGAAATTTCAGAAGATCTGGAGAACATTGAGCTTCTCCTCTCAGATAACTGGTGAGTGAAAGATGCGCATTGCTTAAAGCACATTGGAAACTGATCATTCAAGACTTTGATGACTGCTCCTCTGAACTTCTCTCCAGCAAATGCATAGATGATTGGGTTGAGGCAACAGTGGCTCAAGGCGATGGTTTCCACCCACTGCATGGCAAGACTCAAACCATTATGCCACTCGCAAGTTAACATGTACTCCATTTTCTGCAGGAACATAAGAAACATGACAATGTTGTATGGAGTCCAGAAAATAAAATAAACCGCTACCACAGCAAGGATCAGTCTGACCACTTTGTGCTTTTTTTGCGATTTCATGCTGAGCAGAGTTGGGATAATCCGGGAATAACAAAAGATCATGATAATCAGAGGGAAAACCAAGCTCAGAAGGTTCATCTTAAGATAAGTAAATGGCATCCAGGATGAATCTTTAGGAAAATCAGATCCACAGGATATTTTGCTGTTTGTCTCATTTTTATCTTTGGCAAAAATGATGTTAGGTAGGGACACCAACAGGCTGAGCATCCATACCAACGAGGCCAGAGCCAAACCCATTTTTGTAGAGCGATTTCTGGAGAACACACTGTGGGCATGGACGATGATGGCATAGCGATCCAGTGTCATGAGAACCATGAAGAAGATGCTGGCGTAGAGACCGATCATGAAGAGACCTGTTATGGTGTGACACATAAACCTGCCAAAAATCCACTCATCCATGGCATTGTGAGCCCAAAATGGCAGTGACACAAGGAAGAGTAGGTCAGCTAGGGCTAGGTTGAAGAGGCACACGTCTGTCATGTTGGATTTGTGGCGGTATCTGACAAGGACCCACACGACCAGACCATTTCCAATGAAGCCAATGATGAACACTATGCTGTACAGGGTGGGAAGGAACACCTCACTGAATGCCTTTGTTTGGCCATTGTTGCATGGTTGCTCAAAGTCACCTTCTTCATTATAGTAATCGCTGTAGTCAGTTTTTGTAGCTTGAAAATCACAGAAAGTTACATGTTAGGTCATATAGCAAATTTGTAATGTCATATATATAAATATATATATATATATATATATATATATATATATATATATATATATATATATATATATATATATATATATATTAGGGATGTAACGGTATCAGAATTTCACGGTACGGTAATACCTCGGTATGAATGTCACGGTACGGTATTTATTGAATCATTTACAGGAAAAAACAAAAGTTATGAAAATACTCCAAAAAAGTGCCAAAAGCGTCAATGACATACAAATTAGCCATCTATCTGTAAGCTTTGAAACAGGAACTTCAATTTTAATAACAAAAAATTATTAAACCATGTAAAAAAATTTAGTTTCAATTTAGTATTGTTGAAAACTCGTCACATTCAACATTTAATCACTCACTCACTTAGATAGAGATGGGTTTTAAGGAAAATTATCATATAAATATAATCTGATAAAAGCTGGTATCTCTGGGCATTTACAATGTCCCCTGCAACAGAAAAAAACCCTCTCATTTGGGACTGAGGTTTCTGGGACAGAGAGATATGACTTGGCCCAGGTTGACAGCAGTGGGTAATGTTGTGCATTGTCTTTCCCCCACTTGAGAGGGCAAGCCATGAGTGAGATAGAGGTCTCATGTCTGTATCAATCTGAACAGTGTGCTGTGTCACACCCTCCGTCCCGCCCTTCAGTAGGCGCGCGACAACACCGCTCTTGAGTATGCGCGCTCAACACCCATCACCCCCCCCCCCCCCCCCCGCTTTACAGTACGCGCGTGACAACACAGCTGATTAGAACGCGCGCAACAACACCGCTATTCAGTACCAAGCGACAACACAGCTGATCAGAAAGCGCGCGATAACACCGCTATTCAGTACGCGTGCGGCGACAACACCCGCTTCAGGTTCGATCATTTCCAGCTCTTTTTGATGCCCGCTTCTAGCAGCACACTCCATTTCCGCATTACTGTATCTGTAGCTACAACAGACCGCAAGGGATGATGGCCACCCCTGGGCTGATGGGAATTGTAGTTTTCGCTACCTCCCGTTCGCTTCATTCGCCTGAGCAAATTTTCTCAGAAGACCTATAGTTTTACCGAGTCATGCGACTACGGTAATATCGAAAAAAATTTATATTGCGGTATGACGGTATTTACAATACCGTTACATCCCTAATATATATATATATATATATATATATATATATATATATATATATATATATATATATATATTTAAATTTATATATATATATATATATATATATATATATACATATATATATATATATATATATATATATATAATCAATCTTAACAATGGCTCAAAATGTCTTTAGATTTGAAAGATTAGCAATTTATAGTTTAATTTGTGTTCTCATGACCTCTACTGGTCAGCATTTATATTTTTGTGGGTTGTAAACTGAGATGAACAGATGCTTAGATTAACCATATAATGTTCAGACCATTTTAAATTAAATTTTAATATACAGTATTATTGGGGAAAAAAACACAGTTTTGCATAATTATATAATCATTTACTAATTATTTCAATTTCAACAAATGCTGTAACAAAAATCACAACAAAACAAAACAAAACAAAACACAATGCCCTAAATAATATTAGAACTTACAATCACCTACCAGCCACAGTACTTGGCTCCTCTGTCATGTCTCTAGGTGGTGATAGCAGCTGAATGTTTAAAACTGATGTGATCCTGTGTGTAAAAAGCTTCTGAGTTTCACACAAACACAGGAGGTGTTATTTCCTGAACCTCCCAAGGGGCAGAACTTCTTACGAAAAAAAAATTATGTCACTTTTTTATTTGCAAGTTTTCACACTCGTATGTTTTTATGTTTATTTCATAAATGGAATCAAGTCTTTTATTCACACAAGCAACAATAAAAAAGCAAGGCCAAAATACAAAGCGGAAACAGGGAAAATGGTTAACACCAGTATTAAAGAGTTTGCTATTTCTACAAAGATTAGTTAAAAATAGTTAAAACATTCTCATAAGTTCGAGCTTTCATTTCTACAAGCTTGAACTGATTACTAATATAGAATTATTCTTTCATTCCTGCTTGCATCTGAGCTTTCAAATGTGGAAGTGACATTTATTTATTTTTATTTACTTTACTTTACAGACATTTTTTTTTAAATCGGCTGTCTCTGTACGGTTAAATTAATTCATTTAATTGCGTATGCGGTGTTAAAATTAAACTTTTAAAACCCGAGAAATTTCTGAGGCATTTCAGCATCAAAAAAAGAGGCAAACAGTAAAGTGTAGGTTTCTATGCATATATATTTCCATATGCACACACACATACATAGATATATTTATTATCTGCTTACAAAAGCACTGACAATACAATTTGTATTTGAAATTTCTTACAATGAGTCAATGTTCTCGATGTAGTTACACATGTCCAATATATAGTCTTCACACACAAATAAAAGTGCATTAAATTGTATACAAACCAGTATGCTAAGGGTTAAGATAATAAATGTAATTTATAGTAAATGCCTTATTAAGAGCATGTAGGACTATTGTTGTACAGCTTAAAACAAAATAAAGCAACGGATGTAAGACGCGTTTGCACATTCATAACAATAAATATGATCATGTTTTCTCATATTTCAAACGAAGTGTATCAGACTAAGTGTGGCCGTGCTATTTCTGTGTGCATATGGTGTCGTTTGTGTTCTATTTAAGACTCTGGTTTTTTTACTCCTTCCTCTGAGACAGAGCACAATGTTCTGATAAAAACTGTTTGAACATCATCTAGTGGTTGATCGTATGCACTGATTCAGTATCAGTAGACACTTTTGGTCTGATTTAATATTTCAAACAGGAAAGGAATAACAAAAAGGAATTGTTAAATTTACTAAGTGGTGCAACAAGTTTCTTGTAACAAAAAAAAGAATAAAAATTTGAAAAAAGGTGAAAATATTTTGAAAAAAAGAGAATTTTGAAGAAAGCTCAAAAATGGTGACCATTGACTTCCACCGTATTTATTTTTACTATGAAAGAGAGTGAACAGTCAGACAGTAATGGAACAAGTGAAGGAGGAGTGAGCTAAATGATGACGGTCTGAATATATTGTGTTGGGTGAACTATGCCTTTAGTTAATATTAAAACAATTATTTGTCTCATTTGCATATTTGTATCAAATCTATTATCCAGATATATGATGAAAATTTTGGTAAAATACAATTAGTGAAGCATTAATTAAATTCTTACTTTACACTGACCGAAAATCATCCACCCGCACAGTTGAGTAGATAATAATAGACTCAGTATTTGTCTCATTGGTTTTAGGCCTTTTGGCAAATGTCTCATTTATGTTTACTGTTTTAAAGAGTGTTTATTCATTTTAACCTTGTTTTAAAACAATACCTATCTAAATGGTGATTTTTAGATGCGGAAAATCCACCAGTAAAACTAAAGATTTACAATAGATTTGTAAAAAAAACAATAGATTTCTTTACCCATCTCCCACCATGCAAGAACATACACACTTTAAAACACACATCTTTATTTGTTGTCATTCTTCCTTGCTTTATCAATATATCGTAGTGTATACTGTTTAATAATCAATATAAATTATCAGGCGCCACTGTGAAAAAATATGTTTATGCATTTTGTGTGCTGGAAATTTCAGAAGATCTGGAGAACATTGAGCTTCTCCTCTCAGATAACTGGTGAGTGAAAGATGCGCATTGCTTAAAGCACATTGGAAACTGATCATTCAAGACTTTGATGACTGCTCCTCTAAACTTCTCTCCAGCAAATGCATAGATGATTGGGTTAAGGCAACAGTGGCTCAAGGCGATGGTTTCCACCCACTGCATGGCAAGACTCAAACCATTATGCCACTCGCAAGTTAACATGTACTCCATTCTGTGCAGGAACATAAGAAACATGACAATGTTGTATGGAGTCCAGAAGAGAAAATAAACCGTGACCACAGCAAGGATCAGTCTGACCACTTTGTGCTTTTTTTGCGACTTTATGCTGAGCAGAGTTGGGATAATCCGGGAATAACAAAAGATCATGATAATCAGAGGGAAAACCAAGCTTAGAAGGTTCATCTTAAGATAAGTAAATGGCATCCAGGATGAATCTTTAGGAAAATCAGATCTGCAGGATATTTTGCTGTTTGTCTCATTTTTATCTTTGGCAAAAATGATGTTAGGTAGGGACACCAACAGGCTGAGCATCCATACCAACGAGGCCAGAGCCAAACCCATTTTTGTAGAGCGATTTCTGGAGAACACACTGTGGGCATGGACGATGATGGCATAGCGATCCAGTGTCATGAGAACCATGAAGAAGATGCTGGCGTAGAGACCGATCATGAAGAGACCTGTTATGGTGTGACACATAAACCTGCCAAAAATCCACTCATCCATGGCATTGTGAGCCCAAAATGGCAGTGACACAAGGAAGAGTAGGTCAGCTAGGGCTAGGTTGAAGAGGCACACGTCTGTCATGTTGGATTTGTGGCGGTATCTGACAAGGACTCACACCACCAGACCATTTCCAATAAAGCCAATGATGAACACTATGCTGTACAGGGTGGGAAGGAACACCTCACTGAAAGCCTTTGTTTGGCCATTGTTGCATGGTTGCTCAAAGTCACCTTCTTCATTATAGTAATCGCTGTAGTCAGTTTTTGTAGCTTGAAAATCACAGAAAGTTACATGTTAGGTCATATAGCAAATTTGTAATGTCATATATTTATATATATATATAATCTGAACAATGGCTCAAAATGTCTTTAGATTTGAAGGATTAGTAATTTATAGTTTAATTTGTGTTCTCATGACCTCTACTGGTCAGCATTTATATTTTTGTGGGTTGTAAACTGAGATAAACAGATGCTTAGATTAACCATATAAAGTTTAGTTCATTTTAAATGAAATTATAATATACAGTATTATGGGAAAAAACACCACAGTTTTGTATAATTCTATAATCATTTATTCATAATTATTTCAATTTCAACAAATGCTGTAACAAAAATCACAACAAAACAAAACAAAACAAAACAAAACACAATGCCCTCAATATTAATAGAACTTACAATCACCTACCAGCCACAGTACTTGGCTCCTCTGTCATGTCTCTAGGTGATGGCAGCTGAATGTTAAAACTGATGTGATCCTGTGTGTAAAATGTCCAGCTTCACACAAACACAGGAGGTGTTATTCCCTGAACCTCCCAGTGGCTGAACTTCTTCTTACGCTTAAAAAAAAGTATGTCACTTTTTTATTTGCAAGTTTTCACACTCGTATATTTTTATGTTTATTTCATAAATGAAATCAAGTCTTTTACTCACACAAGCAACAATAAAAAGCAAGGCCAAAATACAAAGAGGAAACAGGGAAAATGGTTAACTTAACACCAGTATTAAAGAATTTGCTATTTCTACAAAGATTAGTTAAAAATAGTTAAAACATTCTCATAAGTTCGAGCTTTCATTTCTACAAGCTTGAACTGATTACTAATATAGAATTATTCGTTCATTCCTGCTTGCATCTGAGCTTTTAAATGCGGAAGTGACATTCATTTATTTTTATTTACTTCACATTTTTTTTTAAGTCGGCTGTCTCTGTACGGTTAAATTAATTTATTTAATTGTGTATGCGGTGTTAAAATGAAACCTTAAAAACCCGAGAAATTTCTGAGGCATTTCGGCATCAAAGAAAAAAAGCAAACAGTAAAACTTAAGTTTCCATGCATATATATTTCCATATGCACATACACATATATAGATATATTTATTATCTGCTTACAAAAGCACTGACAATACAATTTGTATTTGAAATTTCTTACAATGAGTCAATGTTCTCGATGTAGTTACACATGTCCAATATTTCAAATGTCTTCACACACAAACAAAAGTGCATTAAATTGTATACAAACCAGCATGCTTAGGATTAAGATAATAAATGTAATTCATAGTAAATGCCTCATTGTTGTACAGCTTAAAACAAAATAAAGCAACAGATGTAAGACGCTTTTGCACATTCATGACAATAAATATGATCATGTTTGCTCATGTTTCAAACGAAGTGTCAGACTAAGTGTGGCCGTGCTATTTCTGTTGTGTGCATATGGTTTCATTTGTGTTCTATTTACGACTCTGTTTTTTTCTCCTTCCTCTGAGACAGAGCACAATGTTCTGATAAAAAGTGTTTGAACATCATCTAGTGGTTGATCTTATGCATTGATTCAGTATCAGTAGACACTTTTGGTCTGATTTAATATTTCAAACAGGAAAGGAATAACAAAAAGGAATAGTTAAATTTACTAAGTGGTGCAACAAGTTTCTTGTAACAAAAAAAATTGAAAAAAAAAAAAAAAATTGAAAGTATTTTGAAAAAAATAGGGAAGAATTTTGAAGAATGCTCAAAAATGGTGACCATTGACTTCCACGGTATTTGTTTTTACTATGAAAGTGAGTGAACAGTCAGACAGTAATGGAACAAGTGAAGGGTGAGTGGACTAAATGATGACGGTCGGAATATATTGTGTTGGGTGAACTATGCCTTTAGTTAATATTAAAACAATTATTTGTCTCATTTGCATATTTGTATCAAATCTATTATCCAGTACTGAAAAAAGTGTTGCATGCAGAACTGTTGCAAACAATTTATTTGTGTTGAATATAAACAAACAATTTAAGTTTAATAATGTTCAACTTTATTTGTTTGTTTAAATTCAACGCAAATAGTTTACAACCATCTTACGTAAAAAAATTGAGTAAATCCAACGAGTCATCTCTGAATAATTTTTTTCAGTGTATGAGCAATATACAAGCACAGCATTAAATTCAGCATTTTCTTACAACCTTATATAATCAAAATTGCCACAAAAACAAACAAAGACTACATTAAAGATGAAGTAAATATACATTCATTGCTAATAATGACTCGACGTTCTCTCAAAAAGATTTTTGCTGCTGCTTCTCCAAACAACTTATTTAAAAAGAGCTGAAACAACAAAATTCAGAAGTTTTTTAGAGAAAACATAATTGTTTTACATTCAATCCACTTGAAAAAACAGTCTTTAATGCACCTTATTAATGATTGAGCTCTATTTGCTAAAACTTATGAATATATTTAAAAAATATATATTATTTTTGTTAAGAGGGCAAAAAAGTAAGCAACTTAAAAGGATAGTTCACCCAATGAAAATTCTGTTTTAATTTACTTAACATTTATTTGTTTCAAACCTTTATGAGTGTCTATCTTCGGTTGAACACAAAATAGGATCTTTTGAAAAATATTACAGACCCTGGAACCATTGATTTCCATAGTATTTCTTGATGCTCTTCAGTGTTTGGACTTTCAGCAATGAAAATAACCCACATTAAACTAAACTAAACTTCAACTCTGATAGCTGGACATACAGTTTCACTTTACTAGAACTTCTATGTTAAGCTGCTTTGACACAATCTACATTGTAAAAGCGCTTAAGAAATAGAGATTAATTTAGTTATTTGTGTTGTCTACTATGGAAGCTTGTCGATGTTTACATGTTTTCATCTTTCAGTGAAAGAAAGAATCTCAAGGTTTGAAACTAGTAAAGGGTGAGTAAATAATGTCAGAAGTTTCATTTTTGAGTGAACTACCCCTTAAAAAATTCCCCTTTCAAAATTTGCAACATGCCCTCTCACCCTCACTCCCACCCCCAAGAGGTGAACGTATTTGCTTATGCTCACCTTTTTTACATATTTATGTTTATAGTATATGTTTTATTTACTTCTTTACAGTTTATACAGTATATATACATGCAATACTTATACAGTATATTATACAGTTTATACAATTTGTTTACTTGTTCCTCCAATCGACTAAATTGATTCAATTACTATATTTTTAATATACTGTACTTTAAACCTTCCTTGGCATTCAGTATGAACAGTTAGAATATAAAGGGATTATACAGGGAACCCGCTTCCTCACTATCCATATAACATAAAATTATTTAATCTTATCTTTAAAATGTAATGTTTCTCAGAGAGATGCGTTTACTGATCATCTCCACTTGTTTCATAGATAGCACATAAAGATAAACTCATACACAGATGTGGTTTACAGATATGCGTCAGACTACTTCCCCTTTGTAAAAGACAGTCCCCCTCCTCACATGCATATTTTAAGCATTTTATGATGAGATTTTAAGAAAGTGTTTAAAGAAAACTTATTTCAAATAATTTTATTATTATTTTTGATGTCACGTAACAGTGATTGCGTTTATTATGCTGGCTACATAGCACATAACACAAAGAGAATTGATTTTAATAAAAAAAAATGTAGTCTTTTAATAAAAGCCACCAAGCAATGCACATTTTAAAACCAAAACTTCAAATATAAACAATGTATTTCTTCAAGAAAGATTTCAGAAAGTCACATGAAAAGATAACACAATTGACATCAAACATAACACTAATTTCACCCCTGAACAATAGGCTTGTTTAAAACCGCTTACAAATAAGAATGTATATCAAAACTAATGCTTGTATCATATTTACAACAAAAGCAATATGCATATGTACAGAGAAGAACGCTTTTGCAACAACATCGGGTTTTAAATTTTAATACAATCCTGTTATTAACACATCAAAAACAAAAAGAGAACAAATGCAAGTTTTAAGCTGAACTGAATATGAATTCATGAAAAGGGGAACATTGAAAATGGAATAAAGAGCAAACGTGAGTGGTAAAAATATAGATACTTAAAATGAACATAACTCTGTGAAAGAATATGTTTATGCAATTTGCGTGCTGGAAATTTCAGAAGATCTGGAGAAGATTGAGCTTCTCCTCTCAGATAACTGTTGAGAGAAAGATGCGCATTGCTTGAAGCACATTGGAAACTGATCTTTTAAGACTTTAAGCACTGCTCTTCTGAACTTCTCTCCGGCAAACGCATAGATGATTGGGTTGAGGCAACAGTGGCTCAAGGCGATGGTTTCCACCCACTGCATGGCAAGACTCAAACCATTATGCCACTCGCAAGAAAACATGTACTCCATTCTCTGCAGGAACATAAGAAACATGACGATGTTGTATGGAGTCCAGAAGAGAAAATAAACCGCTACCACAGCAAGGATCAGTCTGACCACTTTGTGCCTTTTTTGTGATTTTATGCTGAGCAGAGTTGGGATAATCCGGGAATAACAAAAGCTCATAATAATCAGAGGGAAAATTAAGCTCAGAAGGTTCATGTTAATGTAGGTGAAGGACATCCAGGATGTATTATCAGGAAAATCAGGTCGGCATGAACTTTTGCTGTTTGTCCCATTATTAGCATTGGCAAAAATGATGTTAGGTAGGGACGCAAACAGGCTGAGCATCCACACCAACGAGGCCAGAGCCAAACCCATTTTTGTAGAGCGATTTCTGGAGAACACACTGTGGGCATGAACAATGATGGCATAGCGATCCAGTGTCATGAGAACCATGAAGAAGATGCTGGCATAGAGACCAATCATGAAGAGACCTGTTATGGTGTGACACATAAACCTGCCCAAAATCCACTCATCCATGGCATTGTGAGCCCAGAACGGAAGTGACACAAGGAAGATTAGGTCAGCTAGGGCTAGGTTGAAGAGGCACACGTCTGTCATGTTGGATTTTTGACGATGTCTAATGAGGACCCAGACGACCAGACCATTTCCAATGAAGCCAACGATGAAAACGATACTGTACAGGGTGGGAAGGAAAACCTCACTGAAAGCCTTTGCGTTGCCATTGTTGCATGGGGGTGCTACATGCCCAGTTTCGTTATAATTGTAGTAATCATCAAAACCTGTACACAAAGAACACAATTTTAGGTCATTAAACATAATATATAGACATACTTGTAATATGTTATGTTTATAATCTATCTTGAAATATTAACACTGGTTATCAACATTTCTTCAGGTTTATAAGACTTAAAAAAAAACTACTTAAATTTTACATTGTGTTTTTTGACATCTACTAGTTGCGAATGATCTTTGCATGTTGTAAATTGATGCTACCTGTCTCTAAATGTTTACATATAATAATATTAATAATAATAATAATAATAATAATAATAATAATAATAATAAGCAACATATTTCATGTTTAAATGTGTTGCAATTTTTAGGTTTTCACAAATAATAATTTTTATATTAATTCTGACAAAAAACACACATAATACCATGACTTACTACTGTTTTGTGTCGCCGACATGTCTCTTGGTTATAACAGCTCAATCTGTGAAATTCCTGTGACACTCATAAGGCTTAAGGCAGGAAGTACAGTATTATTTCCTGAACCTCCCAGGGGCGGTACTTCTTTACACAAATAAAAATAAGAAAAATAAAGTCAACAAGTGACAAATGAAGAGGTCATTTGCAAAAACAAATAACTATGTAAAAACAAAATACATTTGCAGAGATCATGTTTACTTTTTTGCACAATAGGCAACTACACATTTAATGCACAATAAAACCATGATTTAAGAAAATGTATAAGTTAAATGTTTATATTCAAATATTTGTTTACTTTTAACTTTTATATACACCGCAGACTTCGATACATACCAGTGTTTGTGGTACGCGTTTATATATATATATATATAAAAATGCAAAATAATTCATGCAAAATAATTTACTTGTTACAAGCAACTACGGCAATATAATATAACACATTAAAGGTTTAACGTAACTAAAGTTGCGAGTGAAAGTAAAAGTAATGTTCTGCAATATATCACATAATAAGAAACGCTTAAAACTTACATGGTTATTGCTGCAAAGACAGACGACAACTGAAAAGGAGTTGTGAGACCTTTTCTAATCTGTGTCCACCAGGCAGCGCCGTTCCCGCGCTTCTTGAGCCGACGAACTTCAACTCTTCTTTCAATAAGCAGAACTGATACAATGTGAGTTCAAAAACCGTCTAAAATTCCTATAAACACTCGTAAACCTTTGTGGAAAGCCTTAAATTTCCTGTGCGTCTGTAGACAGATGTCCCAACATTTGGCAGTATGGCGTTTGCTATTCATATAAAGACCAAAATAGTTAATTGACCGCATTGTCACTGCTGAGTGTTCAGTTATTTCACAGCCAACAACAGTCAGAAAAAATCCAACAAATAAGGTTGAATTTGGCAAGCACTGGATGTATGAATGAAAACACTGATGACACAACCACTTATAAGTTTCATTATTTTATTTTGCTTTATTTTAATTGTTAACCAAAATAAGGGACTAAGCCGAATGAATTATTGAATGAATAATTGTTGAATAGTTCTGCCAATTGATAAAAGTGTCTTTTAAAAATTGTGGATATACAAAAGACAGGGAAAAAAATAAATGGGTAAAAAGATTTGAACCTCGAATGAAAACATTCAATTTTAAGATAACTGGCTTCAAAGGAAATACATCAGATTTGCATATAAGGAAGTTTTTTTTTTGTTTTTTTTTTTGTAAAATAATGAAATTCATTATGAATAAGATAACTTTGATAAAACAATATCTAAAAACTGTTTTGAAAAAAAAGATAATAAGGGAGATATAAAAATAAGCCATGCTGTAGAAATGACGAACTTGATTATGTGCTATGTGAACAGCCCCTTTATGGTGCATGTTCACCAAAGCATTTTTTTCCCTAGACAATTGTATTGTTCAGATGTTTTCAATGAGAGTGCTACATGTTTTAGAACACCAGTAGCATTGTGAGATGCTGAATATTTGAAGCAAATTGATATTTGTTTGCCTATTTTTTTTCTAATTTACAGACAGTTGAAAAAATGTTTTCAGCTGAACATTTCAGAAGTGCGGTGGCAGTTCATTAAAAATACTTACAAATGCCTTAAGAAGGCTGTCTGAATTGAAATTCTGTCAGATACATTAACTCTGTATTCTAAATCACTCACCAGCCACTTTGTTAGGTACACCAGTCCAACTGCTCATTAACACACATTTCCAGTCAACCAATCACATGGCAACAACTCAATGCAATTAGTCATGTATGGTCAAAATGATCTGCTGCAGTTCCAACCGAGCATCAGAATGGGGAAGAAAGATGATTTAAGTAACTTATTAGTAACTGCCACATTTAAGGAATGTGGCATGGTTGTTGGTGCCAGACAAGCTGGTCTGAGTATGTTAGAAGTGATCTACTATTTTCACACACAACCATCTCTAGGGTTTACAGACAATGGTCTGTAAAGAGAAAATATCCAGTGAGCGGCAGTTCTGTGGCGCAAATGCCTTGTTGATGCCAGAGGTCAGAGGAGAATGGCCAGACTGGTCCCAGCTGATAAAAAGGGCAACAGTAACTCAAATAACCACTCGTTAACCAACATATGCAGAAGAGCATCTCTGAATGCACAACATGTTGAACCTTGAGGCGGATGGGCTACAGCAGCAGAAAGCCACACCAGGTGCCACTTCTGTCAGCCAAGAACAGGAAACTGTAGTTACAATTCACACAGGCTCACCAATATTGGACAATAGAAGATTGGTAAAACATTGCCTGGTCTGATGAATGTCTATTTCTGTTGCGACATTTGGATGATAGGGTCAGAATTTGGCATCAACAACATGAAAGAGTGGATCCATCCTGCCTTGTATCAATGGTTCAGGCTGCTGGTGGTGTAATGGTGTGGGGGATATTTTCTTGGCACACTTTGTGCCCATTATTGCCAATTGAGCATCATGTCAATTCCACCACATACCTGAGTATTGTTGCTGACCATGTCCATCCCTTTATGACCACAGTGTACCCATATTCTGATGGCTACTTTCAGGAGGATTACGTGCCATGAGAATCATCTCAGACTGGTTTCTTGAACATGTAAATGAGTTCACTGTACTCAAATGGCCTTCACAGTCACCAGATCTCAAACCAATAGAGCACATTTGGGATGTGGTGGAATGGGAAATTCCCATCATAGATGTGCAGCTGACAAATCTACAGCAACTGTCTGATGCTATTAGGTCAATATGGACCAAAATATCAGAAGAATATTTCCAGTAGCTGTATCTATGCCACGAATGAATCAGGCAGTTCTGAAGGCAAAAGGGGGTCCGACCCGGTATTAGTAAAGTGTACATAATAAAGTGGCCATTGAATGTATACACGCATGATGTAAAATCATGTTCAGTGTGATAGGCCCCTAACTGAACTTAATGGCTAAAATATATTTTCACTTAATTTATATATATATATATATATATATATATATATATATATATATATATATATATATATATATATATATATATATATTTTTTTTTAATGATGATTATAATATTTGTTAAGGTTACATTTTTTATTATTTATAAAATATAATAATGTTGTCTGTAAAAAGTGTCGCATATTAGTGTATTTGTCAGTGTGTTTTTTAGTCCATCATCAAATATTTTATTCAGGCAATATTTATTGTTTATTTATAAAAGCTCTAAATTGTCACTTTTCCTAATTCTACAAAAATACATTGTTAAAAAAGCGCAATCTAAAAAATGTGTGCAAATAAATATTGCATCAATTCTACTACCATGTATTTCTGTTACCACTGTACCACTCAAAAAACTCATTATTGTTGCTTGTTCAAACTGCCTGTTTTAAATGAGCTGAAGCAACACAATTCTTGTAATTTCTTTGGCCAATTTATTTGTTTTATTTTCAGTACACTTAAATTTGTAAACCATTAAGTTAACAAGCATTTTGTGTTGGGAAAACATGAAGGAATTGTGTTAGTCCAACTACCTGGTTAGGGGATTTGTAGTTCCCAGCATGCTTTGCGTGGTATTGAATTTTTAAATGTTGACAATAAAAATAATCTTAGGTGTTTAAAGTTAATAGACTTGTTAATGTTTAATCCTCACTTTAGTTGGAGGATTCAATAGAATTTTGTGTAATGCTTTAAGTTTTGAGATTACCCCCTTGCAGAAGCACCCATGCTTTGGCTGTTGGCAGCCTAATTAGCAAAAATGCAGTTTGTTGCTTTGCTCAGTGAGCATTAACTGTCCTAAAATGAGTTCTGACATCAGTCTCAATCAACTATTTGTAACTCTTAAAATATGCTTAAAAATGGCTCTTTTAATTCATTTAGGATAACTTCTAATAAACATAGAGACTTTGAAACATACAATACCTAACAGACATACATGATATTATCTGAACTTTGAGTTTAAGTTAAATAACAAATACAAATATATAAAGTTTTTTTGATAAAACCATGTTGAACCAATTCATTTGCATTTAATTGTGTAAATAGCTTTTTTAGCTGGCGCTAAATAAATTTATTGGATGGAAATCCTGCAATTAAAATCCCTCAATTAAATTGAGTTCATCCAATTTTTGAGTGTACTTTGCCATTTAGTTGGCGGAATTATCTGTGACAGATAATTAACAGATAATAAAGTAACTTTCACTTGCTGATAAGATGCCAAGCACTGAAAGGTGTGTGTGCTCTCTGAGAAAAAAAAAAAAAAAAAAAAAAATATATATATATATATATATATATATATATATATATAGTATTTATACACATTGTTGCCTAATTTGTCCATAACAGAGTTGAGTTGACAAACAATACTACACTGTTAAAAAATCCTGGTTGCCTTAAATTTTTAAGCTGAATCAAATTAACCTTATATGTCAATTGAACTTGTATCATGTTAAACTTACTTAAAACAGCTTGTGTAGCTTATAAAATTAAGTTAGAACATGATTAACTTAGTTTAATAAGTTACATTGTATTAAAAATATGCTGTCATTACTAATAGATCATATGTTGTTTTAGAGTGTAGTGTAAACTTGTTTTTCCTCAAAATTAAAACTAAATAAAACAACTTGTGTTTAGCAAACACTGAATAAATAAAATTACGTTTCAATAAGATACTGGTAATAATCCAAGTTTATAAAAAAGATTGCTTAACTTTTTAAAATGCCAATTGTAGGCCTACTTGTATTTATATAGAATCTCTAAAAAACTCATTCCTTTTTCTCTTTATTTGTGCATTTTTTCCTCTTTTTATTTACTGTGTCAAGGTTAGTTTGTTCCGTAAATGTATCAGTTTTGTCTTTGCATAAATAGAAAATATGTCCTACTCTTCAGCAAACTGACAGTGGTGCAGCAGTGTTGGCGCAAGGGATCAGAAGGCTTTTTTTGGATGCAAGAAGGATTCTCCAGCTTAAATAGCCAGAGGGCGGGACGTGCACACTGCTATCCAATCAGTCAGCCCGCACAAGAATAATAAACGCTAGGAACGACGGGAGTAAAACACTATTTGAATAATAAGAGAAAGCTTTTGTTGCAGCTTAACCGTAACCATGGTAATGTCTTTCATTCACACGCGAGATTGCAAGAATCCTACTGAAAGTTGTGTAGTGTAATATTCATATTATGTTAATTATGAAGACAATACAGTAAACAGCAGCAAGACAATAAACGTTTGGTTGTTGTCTAAAGTGAGCGGTACTTTACAAAGACGTTTTAGGTGGCGAGAGCCCCTTTTTGTATCAGGACAGTCAGTGTTTACTGCAGTGCAAAGGCTCCCGCAGCTCGTTCCCGTGGGCGCGTTCTCGCGCCAGAATTCCAGGCTCGGGCTTCCGTTGAGCGCGGGCTCGAGAAGCAGCGGGAACGGCGCTGCCTGCTGGACACAGATTAGAATAGAACAAAACTCCCGTGCGGTTGTCTAACCATACAGCAGAATCCACGTAAGTATTTTAAGCGTTATATATAACGTAAGTGATAAGTGATATCTCGGTGCAATATTCCTTTTACTTTGACTTACAACTTATTTGTAGGAATAGTTGAGTTAAACAAACACTGTATTATTTCGTAACGTTAGTGTCTATTGTGACAAGTGAATTCTTTTGAATGCTTCTATTTGTTTGTTTTTTTCCGTTAAAAACATAAATAACGCCATGTACCTTTAGGCTGCACATCAAAAACTAGACTGAGTTGAACGGATAATTCATTCTAAGTAACTTACTGACTGACACTTGTTGCTACTTTTTGTTAATTGCAATATTTTTGGTCATCATCGCTCTGCTAATGTGTAACGTTATATCTTTCTTTAAAGGTGACACTTATACGAATGTCATTTGAACTGTATCCCAATGTTGTCGCCTGGACGTACGAGTGATTTGCATTGATACAAAGCGGATTCAGTTGATGACAGATGAATTTGGGAGACGCAACGACCAGACCTCCTGTAGGGTAAGTGTATAGAACCCAACATATTTTTGGTCACATAAAGGTTCTTTATTGTAAAGTGTTAGCATATTTTTAATGGATTGCAGTGTTATCTATCTATCTATCTATCTATCTATCTATCTATCTATCTATCTATCTATCTATCTATCTATCTATCTATCTATCTATCTATCTATCTATCTATCTATCTATCTATCTATCCATCTATCTATCTACGCTTTTAGTAATGAAAAATCTGTATCTTTACTATCTGTATGCTTTATGTTCAAATCACACACCAAATCACACACCAACTATTGAATGTAGAAGTACATGGAGTTTGGAGATTAATTCAATCAGAACTGTAATTTACAAAATAAAATAAGGACAATGTACAATTACATGACTTGCATACATTAGCATACAGAATTCTGATTTTGGAAATGTTGAAAGTTGGTTTCACTTGGCATTACAGATCTTATCTGCTAGCCTATAACACCAATAAACAAAAACAGTTTACATGTCATTGGGCTTGTTTGGATAGAAGCTCTGTTCTGGCAGTTACATGAGAGAAGAGTACACAGGTAATGAAAACAAACAACTCCCTGTTCATCTGCCAGTGATGCTTTTGTATTCCAGCCACACACCTTTTGTCACTTCTGCTCTTTGCTCAATAATAATTCAATTTCACTGGACAACATGTTAGCAAAGTTTTTAAATATTAAGGAATTTGTATTTTATTTGCGTACAAAATGAAGTATCCTAAAACTAAAATTGACTCCAAAATTAGTATTATTATAGCACAAGTGTGACATAAACTCTTCCATACTGGATTCGCTTTCTCACAGAAACTTTTGGTGATGGTAACATATCTCAGCAGCCATTTAAATGTTAGCCAGTGTCCCCTCTTTGAAAGCACAACAGTTTGCTTTGTGGATCTAAGTTACCCACACCCCCCTTTCCATTTATGTAATCAGACCCTTTTGCATAGCTAAAGCAGTGGACGATTGTGGGTACTTTAAATCTTGAACAGTAGTTGAGCTGCATTCCCACTGCTATCATTCATTAAAGGAGTACTCATACATATCAGAATGCTTTTAAACGTTAAACAGAGGGTTTGCACTTAGGTTTGATCAGTGGACTCTGATGTAAACAACAGCAAGGATTGCATGGTTAATGTATTACTGAAGACAGTCTTCTGCATATTTATGATGTCTAACTATGGGAAAAAATGTGTGAAAAGCTGCTATATCATATAGATAAGGACTTAGTCAGCAAGAAAGAGTGCAATAGTGAATTTAATAGTTGGTAAAAGATACGCACGAGGAGTTTTAAATAAGATATTATCCTAATATTTCACCTACTTTATCAGACATGCATGGCAAGAACAAACATAAATGTTGTCAAGATTCTTACCCTGAAAATCCTGATTCAGTTTAGCCAACCACAAGCACATTTTGTTCCTAAATTTTATTCTCTTTTGCTTGATTTGATATAACTTCTGTCAGTCTATAGTGCATTTCATACCACCTCCACCTTCTGACAATAATCAGGCAGGCAGTCACAGCTACTGACAGAACCAAATGATGCTCAAGCACTGGTCATGTATTTAAATACATTTAAGCTTTTTTTATTTTTATTTTTTAAATAAGATTGCTTTACTTTATAAGATTACAAGAATAATGTCAAAAGTTTGGTTTCAGGTAGCAAAAATTTCATGATTGGGATTCTGGATCTGCACCCTACTGAGCCAGAAAAACCATGAGTAATGTTAAAAAAAGAAAATTCCTCGCTGATCAGTTAGTAAAGCATAAACATGACAAAGTTATTGATATTGCAGCAATAATATTCTGCATAATATGTCAATTTCAGTCAGTTTAGTTTCATTGTTTACATTCTGCTCCTCAATATGGCCCACTGATGATGCGCAGGACAGAACAGACAGAATCTGCAGGTATTTTGGGCTATTTTTGCCCAGAAGTTTGTAAAAAAATCTGCAGATCTATGCCGAATTATTTTTAGAGCGTGAAATAAAATAATAATAACTTTTTGACTTTTATTTAAGGTTAATAATGCAAATACAATTAGATCCTCTTACTGTATTTGGTAAACTAAGTAAATCTTTTATATAATATATATATTACCAACTGTATTGTAAATAAATCATATAAACATTTGCATATTACTCAGTAATGTTACTGGAATTAATCTAAAATAATTATATATATAAAAAAATTATAATTATAAATATATATATATTTATATGCCTGTCAAACTAATCAAAATATCGACTTATCCCACAACATGTGGACACTTTTTTCTAGTTCTTTTTACTGTAAACTAGTCCTTTTTTTGTAAACATTTATTATTATTTATTTGTTTAGGACATACACTTTTACATCCTGATTTCTAGTTATTAGAATGATTAAATGACTATAATTAAATTAAATATTCTTAAGAATAAAATATGTGTTCTTTGGAAGAGTGTACTTGCATTATGATGCTATTGAAGTGTCTTAAAATCACAATAATATCCTTTATCACAATATATATTGGTGTTATATATCGTTCCACAAAAATAGATATCCTGACAGGCCTAAATATGTATTTGCACACATTTACATAAGTAAATAAATAGACTCAATGGGCTGAAAAATCTGCAGGTTTCTGTGTGTGCACATTCTGTGTGGGGCTAATGATGCATCATGAAAAGCATTATAATATTCAAGATGAAGTAACGTAAACAAAAACATTACAAGTTTGCTGCAAGATTTACAAGGGTTCATTTAGTACCAAAAATAGCTGCATTGCATCATATACCATATAAAGTGTTCAAAGGGTATATACAGTAATAGCGCTGGAGTTCTCAACACTAGCCCTTGAGTTCTACTTTCCTGCAGAGTTTGATGCTGCCTTCATGTGCTATTGAAAATTTCCTACTTCACACTTTTGAAGTTCCTGATTACAGGCTTGTCACATCAAGTGCTCTGTTGTTGGAAAGAATTACATGTAACATATAATTAGTTGTCAACCTTACAAACCTTCACCATGCTAGCCAGTCGGTTTAGTGACAATGCTGGAATGTAGGTAAATTGGGCCTGTTTACACCTGGTCACTCCATTCATTTTTTTCTGATCGGATAGCTATCTGATTTATAAAAATGTTTCCATTTACATTTAGCAACATTAATGTGTCTCTGCTAAATGGGTAATACATGACAGGAGGTTCTTCACGTGTGTTCTAGTAAAACATCATTACAAATGCACATGGTAGACTTTGCGATTAATGTCATTATAGTCTAAAGTAAACATTTATTTGTCATTGAGATACTTGCAAGATATCATTCAAAACTGTAAAGAGTTTACATCAATTTGTGTACAACGTACTTTCTCAAAAACAAACCACAAATGAATGAAACCCTTTGTTATTAAATTAGTTTTTCTCTCCATTTACAGGGTGCGTGACCACCTCCTGAAAAGCAACCGAGTATAAACAGGCTCCTATTGTACTCCAGCCTTAATCAAACACACCTGAACACGCTAGTTAGGGTCTAATTCTGGGTTCACATCAAACGCAGATCTAAGTATTTGCACAGTTAATTTACATACAAAGCCAATGCAAATTTCTGGGTAGAGGTTAATTAACAGCATGCGATTGATGTCAGATGTGGCATGCATTTGCCATGAATGGAATTCATGGAATTTGCCTCAATTTTATTTACTGAGATATTTTTTTTGACCTTAAATAATAGAATTTGAGTGGAAAATTAGCATGAGGGGAAAAACATCCAGCGAGTAAACCTGAGTGAGTGACACAATGCTTTATGTTCGGTTTAAACCCAATTTAAGGATTACTGCAAAGCTACAGGCAGGTGAGACTTTGGTTCCATTGGTTGATTGAATAAGGCCACTAGTGCCACTGTTTATGACATTAGAACAATGGCAAATGGCGGCTTAAATATTTTTTTACTACTATCTAGGGCTGCACAATGTTGAAAGAAAATGTGTTTTTCCATTTATATTGTGATTTTTCTCAATATAGATTAATCAATTTTTTTTGATTGATTTATGATGATTTTGTAGGTGAGAGCATAACATATAATCAACAAATTATAAGCAGAGATAAATAGAGCAAACATACAAATGGTACAGAAATAAAATAATCAAATGTACAATAAAGCTGTATATACTTCATTGTGTAAATAATTAAATACAGTAAATCTTTTTTAAAGCTACAAATGTAATTTTCCTTTAACCCAAATGCTTTCAACTTGCTTTAAATGTTTAAACATGCTTTAAAAGAACATAAAGTATAAAGTAATTGAGACACTTTCATTTTATTATGGTTAAACGAAAAATGACTCCAAAATTCTGAAATGTTGTACCTGGGAAACTAAAACTCCACAATGCACATCCTGCAATGTGATTATTGCGTATTCACACATTGTGATATCGATGCTAAAACAATATAGTGTGCATCCCTGTTACTAACTACTGTATTTCGTTACATGCACAGATTATACATTTTTACAGATTTTTGTCTTATTCATTGTTTTGGTTTTCACTCTGTCAGATTCTAAACTTTCTCTTATTTGTAGTACAGTTACTCAGCCCTACTTTGTTATACTTTTAACAAGAAAAATAGAATAAATGTATATTGGTTTGTATATTTTTGGTTCAGAAAAATAATTACTAAATGTGCATAACCTACACTGAGCAATCTCTGACAGACTGAATGCTTTCCGACTAACATAAATGCCTCTAAGTTCAAATTTAAACAAGCTATACTCTACTGATACTAAAGAAAGGCTGGTATTAGTTAGTTGTTAAAATTGAAGTATCATTTTATTACCCCTAATGATTTCATATTCAGTCATTTAAAGGGATAGTTCACCCAAAAATGAAAAATACCTCATCATTTACTCTCCCTTTTGTGCTTTTAATCCTTTATACGTTTTTTTCTTCTGTTTGACAGTAAACACAAGAAGATATTTTGAAAAATACTGGTTGCTGGACCCATCCACT